CAATTTATGTTTGTATTTGTGAGTTTTTGAATTTTTAAACCGACCAGCTCTCATCATATACAGGTGTTTAGTGGGAGTATTAACAATATTGATGGTTGTGCTACATTTTTCCGCCGAGATAGATTCTCACATGTTAAAAAATATGAGGTACGAAGTATTGTGTTGAGAAGGTCTTTACTTTCTTTATAGTAGCATACTAGAAAGGTTGCTCTTGCATCATTACAAATAATAATCTCATGCTTCTATTGCAGGTCGAGTTTAATAAAGCTGCACAATCTTTGACTGATGCTGTGGTTCCCATTGCCCAAAAGAAGACTGCATTAAATCGTTTGGTTAAGGTATCTTCCTGAATTGCTCTAATGGTTCATCTTTGTATTGCCAGAGTTTGAATTCAGAATTGGCCTATTATGTCTGACCACCTGTTCTATAATAGGATAATGTTGCACTTATAGTGGTTTTGGAAGCGAAGTTCAGCAACCAGGGGGTTGACAACCCTGGGAAGCGTCAACTAGTTTGTGTGGTAAGGAATATGATTTTTTCTTTTAACTTTTCCTTTTACAGTTGAAATCTTCAGTTTTTTTTCTCTGGATAAAGGTCTGCCTGTGCTTTCTTATAGCCCCATTCTATGCTGACATGTTAATAACTCTGGTCATGTCATGGTGAATATTTTCTTACTAGACTTGTCCTTTTGCTTAATAAAGCAAGTCAGTAACACTGAGAAGTACCTCTCCTGGAATGTTAACTACGCGTACAATTTTGTATTCCTGGGATAGCTTAAATGAAATGTGGATCATAATCTATATCGAGCTGATGCATCTATTGAAATTGTTCCTTCCATTTCTGTATGCAGGCCAACACACATGTAAACGTTCAGCAAGAATTAAGGGATGTCAAACTGTGGCAGGTTACTATTGAATACATTATTAAATAGGTCTCCTCCATTCTTTTCTGGTTAAAAACTCATTGTCTTTACTACTCAGGTTCACACACTTCTTAAAGGACTTGAAAAAATCGCTGCCAGTGCTGACATCCCAATGCTTGTCTGTGGGGATTTTAATTCGATGCCCGGAAGGTCAGTTGTTTCTTGAATTTTTTTTATTGGCACAGTTGATACTGTTCTCCCAAGCCCTCTCCACTTCCTGGAAATAACAGGCTGGAAATACCAATACTAATGTGAACTGTCACAATGCAGTGCTCCTCATACACTTCTTGCTTTGGGGAAAGTTGATCCAATGCATCAAGATCTAGTAGTGGATCCTCTTGGTATTTTGCGTCCAGCTTCAAAGTTAACACACCAGCTCCCATTGGTAAAACTTCAATAACTTTTGGAAGGCTTCTATTCCTGTTCCTGCTTCCCCACCATTTTGTCTCTCATCCTCTTCACTCTCCATATCCACCTTTTATACAGTAAGTGTGTGTTCAGTATGGAGGAAAATGATTCCCTAGTGGAAGTAGAGAAAACAAATTCCACAGGTGACATTCCACAATGGTTGTATCCTCCCCACCCTCCAACACACCTCATCCTCACCCCCATCCCCATCCCCGCCACCCCCACCCTGACCC